AACCAAGAAAACTTTCAGATAAAACTGCTGGGCAGAAAGGCAAAGCAAATGACTGCAAGAGAATTGCATGTAGGTTTAGCCAACACAGGAGACATAGTGAAGCGTTGATGCACAAACAGGGTCAACATGGATAAGAGCAACCTCATCACAAAAGTCAATGTCTGAAGTCTGCAAAGCATCAATAAGCCAGAGTCGTTTTGGCAACAAGCGCTGTGGACAGATGAAGTTCAAATTGAGCTGTAACCAAAGGTATGTTTGGAGAAAAAAAAAAGGACCAGTATTTGTCGCAAAGAGCATCTTGCCAACTGTTAAGCATGGGGGTGGAAATATTCTTTGGATGCAGGCTGGCTTCTATGGCAGGCCAGCGACCCAAGGCAGACCTCGACATTGACCATGAACTTCTTCAACCCGCAAGCAGAAGCTTTTGGAGACCCCTGGCTCAAGCATCATTGAATAGCTGCAGGTACAAATAACTTTAAAATATCTCAAGACTTGATGTGAACCAGCAGGGAGAATAGAGGAAGACTGGAAAAACTCTTAGCAAGATATTAAAAGTGTTTGTCAGCTGTGATATCTGTCACAATTGCACATGCATTTTTCTTTTAATGCAATAAAAATATCAGTGAATTTCTGGCGTGTGCTTGCTACATGGATTGTCTTTACTTGTTTTCACTTCCAGCATCAATAAGACATCCAATTTGCCCTGTGGTACCCAAGCTTTGCATACAACTGCACACTTTAGACGTGTTAATGCAGAAGTACCAAGCCCACTGTGCTCTACTTTTGGAGCACAGTGAGCACATACTTTCCAATTCTGGGTTTTTCTAAGTCGGCCTATATAAAGCTTTCCTATTATTAGACATACTTTCCATTGGTAAATACTGCATTGTCACATTGAGACTATAAAAAGTCTATGACAAAAGTATGTTCATGCACTGTGGTGCTGTGTGGGTGCGAAAGGCCAAACTAAGCCAATCCCAAGGTCATTAATTATTGATGATATGGTCAACTAGCTGCCTAACTGTGCCAGAAGCCATATTTGATATCAATGTTTAACAAAAGTGCTTAAACATCCTGCATTCATTATATGAAATGGAAGAGATTGTTTTGTTGTTTTTTTTAAAGTTGCACTTTGCAAATAGTTACAAAATGAACACTTAGGACAGGATGGTGGAAAATGTGCGTTAAGAGTCATCGTTTAAAAATTTACCTTTGACTTCTGTTCTGATTTCCAAGGTTATGTTATAATCTGAACTATTACAAGAATGATCAATATTTATATCACAACAACTGATGATTGGCTTGATTGAACAGATGCAAAATGACTAAATGTCCACTGTTACCAAAGCAAAAGCAAAGACTATTAATTACTTACAGTCCCTACTTTCTGTTCAAAATAGAGAGAATCCATGTTCTCTATAATGAGTCTATTTCCAATCATACAGAACTTTTTTTTTTCTCAAACCATTCCATATGGTCAAAAACTGCTTGTTTCTTCAAAGTCAGCAACCTTTGGGTCAAGTAGCCATCTGCCTAATTGACAGCAGCCCCAGTGGCTGAAGGTTTAATGAACAATTTTATTTATTTTTTTCTTAAATGAATCCTCCAGTTTGTCTGTTCATAACTGATTGTGTTGTTGCAGGAGTTGGAAATGTGGCAGGATGACACTACAAAAAGCAAACTTAAATAATTACATTTGTATATAATATGCATGTCTTTATTACATCTTGAAGGATTCTACTACTGTACTACTGTGATCCTTCGTGTTTTAAAAAAATAAATAAATCTTTTCATTAAACAATATTACACCAAAGAAGCAGTTATATTCAAACCTACCACAGCAGTTCACACATCCTCCTGGTTCCTTCATTATAGCAACAACCAAAGAATCTGTGTTTGTGTAATTGTCTTATGTGCATTTCTTAGACATGTAAAGTGAGAAAGTAAACAAATGTTGTTTCTTTAATATAATGTGATAGAGACAGGAGCAGGTTTGATTCTATGAATAAGCTATACCGAGTAAAGAAGTCATGGCAAACCCTGGACAGGCCAGTCTAATCAAAAAACAAGTCATTTAGGCCACAGTAGCTTCTCCAGGTATTCTCGGTTTAGTTTCACTAGAGCTCCACCTAGTGGACACAAGTATTGACTGTTACTTATATTATTATTTTTGACTTGATGACAAACATGCAGAATGACAATGTCAAATATTATAAAGCACTAAGTTATTCTAATGCAGAAAGGGTCATAACATTACATAACATTTTGTGTAAACTAACCATTATGTCACTTGACATACAGGATGATGTCATATTGACACTGACGGTGGCATGTTAACCCCTTATCACTCCGGGTCATTTTAACCCTTTATATAAAAGTGGACACAAGCACTGATGACTGGTTATGTATGTGCTTTTTGTAAAGTGTCAAGTCGTGTATATGCAGGTTTCATGAATGTCTATGTATACCTCCTTCAAATGAAGTGTTACCAAAAGTTGCTGTCTGGTTGTTTTCATAAAAAGAGGTTTTGATAAAAATCTGCAGAAGTGGAAGAAGCATTCAGAGCTTGTACTGAAGTACCAGTGCCACAGTTTAGAAATACTCTTACAAGTGAGAGTCATGCGTTAAAATTTAAGTAAAAGTATAAAAGTATTAGCATTAAAATATACCTAAAGTACCAAAAGTAAACATACTCATTATGCAGAATAGCATATTTCAGAAGATCCATCACAAAAGCTATGTTTAGCCTTAATTGGTGACAACAAACCTGCAAAAAGGAAGAGAGAAAAAAGATCAGGAAAAAAGGTGTTCGCTCCACTATGCATGGGTTGTACTTACACTTTTATTTGAACATGTACAAGTACTGTCTGTTTTTGGAATTTCATAATGAAGTGTCCATGTGAATAAAGAGTTATTAACTTTTCAGCCAGAATACAACCACAGATCTTTTTTCTTGAACTATAGAGTTAGAAGGTTATTAGACATACAGGTTATTTTGTATGTCTCATAACTTATGGAAATTACAGTCTTTAAATTAACTAGTGCGTTTTCTGAGTAGAGGCAGTTGTGATAAAAGCAGGTTGAAAAAAATGTCTGCTGTTAAAAGAAGCTCCATCTACAGATGTCAACTTGTATTTGCAGGTTTTGTGTGAGCTCAAGATGTGCAAATGCAATTATATAACCAAACAAGTTTTAGTTAAGTCTTCTTACATAAGAAAATATCATATTTAATTATTACAGTCATTCAATTTGTATAATACATGGCTGTTTTTTGTAATTATGGCACAGATATAAAACAATAATAATAGTTAAACAAGAATACAGCACAGAGAAGGGAATAGTGCAGGACTTAATGGGCAGCAATTTGTTCATAGTATTTGCATTAAACTTACATTTAAAAGGTAGTCGCTAGATGGTAAATCATATTGTTCTCATCCAGACAACAATTTAAATGTAATTATAGGATTTGGAGTTCTGGTTTGGTTTAATGTTCTAATGTGGAGATACGTGAGGGAAGAAAATAAAGCCAGTAGACATAGATGACAGTGAGTTAAAGTCACATTTAAAAGTAAAGTCAAGACTCCTTCCAAACTCAACAAACTGACTTTTACAGATATAATGAGTTTCATTCATTCAGATGGACGGAAGCTGTAGAAGTGTTAGAACGTAGTGCCTCTGAGGTATAATAGAAAGATTATAGTATCGAGAATGAATTTCAACCACAGATATCTTCTAAAATATTGTATTCAGACGTCTCAGTTGGCCATGTCAGTGTGACACTGAGACAGCATGTACAATACCGGGATGCTGAAATCAAAGCAGCTAAAAGGAACTCAGTCATTTTTCATTTTACTGATTACAGATGTTCTGTTCCTACTGTGACATGTTAAAATTTCTTCTTTGAAAAATGTTATGTTGACTCCCTGCAACTCAAATAGCTAAATTGAATACAGCCAATATTACTGGTATTAATTAGAGTCTAGCTGATAAACTGGTTACATACATTAGTAATCATTCAGTGAAAAGTTTGTCCACCACAAAATACTTGCATGCTCATTTTCAGTTGTAAAATGCTTAATACCAAGGAATTCTACTTCAGTACATCACTAAAACTAAAACGCTGAAACGATTTTCACAAGCTAACATGAAAAAGCTGCTCACACACTCTTTTATCAGTAATAATTCTTCAATAATTTAGTATACAACAGCATAGCCCTGACAGGTGGTGTTCTGCTCCATAGTGACTACTTAAGGCATCAAAGTACCATTTGCTTGATTAATACTTGCATATACTTTATACTTGTATTAATTTGAATGCAGTAGGACTTATATTTCTAATTAAGTCTCTTGTTTTTTAGGTTGCTGCATTGCTACTGTTATTTAAATAAAGATTTCTTCCAGTATTGGTGGGGCTCCATTTTTTATTTTTTTTATTTTTTAATGTGATGAATATCAAAATATCTACTGTGAAAAAAGAAATCTACATTAGACTGTTTGCTATAACTGATTGTGTTTAAAATCGTAATTATTGTTGTCTTCTCTTTAAAAAAAAAATACTGAAATACGCATATTTTACCAAACAAAATGGACGACATAGGAGTTTAACATTTTTAAACACAGGCACAAAAAAAGATTGCTAATGTTATGTTTTAAGTCAATATTATTGCCTTTATGGTCACATTAGAATGCAGCTTGCTGCGAAATATACGCTCAAATATCTGACAATGAGGTGAGAGGATTGTAAACACCGCACATCCTGGAATATACCAAAGCCGGGGGGCAGTGACGTCCACATTTCCACTTTATAGCTGTACAGACAGAAATTAGTTTCTTTTTGCTCGGGGCAGGAATTTAGTTTAAGTTGTTTTTCTCGTGTATTGACTTTTTCATGTCGGTTACAAGACAAACACGTCCCGCACTGTTTTAAATATCCACCGCCCCTCCCCTCTGTCTGGGAAGTTAAACCGAGCGGCCGCGCTGAGCTCCGGATCAGCTGAGTTTGAGGATCCCGCCCCGTTATGACTGTCAGCGCTGTCCACTGTCCAGGATGGTCGTGTTCACTCATGTACACAAACACGGGACGAAATAAGTCCTAATTTCCATTGAGGGGCGTTAGCGTGGAAGATGTACCATCAGGACCGGGCTGTCTCTTCTTCGAGTCCGGCTGCTTTGAAGCGAGCGAGGTCCAGCACATCTTGTGCTTGTTTCTCCGTTGGTGAGTCATTGATGCACCTGATAGCTAGCTAAAATTGTTTACGGCGCTGCTGCTTGGTTTATGCTAAATTTCTAAAACCAAAGAAGTCTGTTATTTTAATTTTAGGCTTTAAAAAAAATTAAACCCTCCCTTTTAAAAATATTTGTTTATATTTTAAGCCAGCTACATTTTTTAATATCGCGTAACTGACAAAAAAATCAGCACAAGCTAGCTCCACACAGACGTATGTGAACATTGTAGAATACCTCATTCATTTCATAGTGCTTGAGGCACTAGTGCTATCATCCAGTGTGTGGTCTGAGGACGTGCAGTTACATAATACGCTCATCAGTAGTGATCACTGATGCTACAGTGCACTCACAGGCCAAAAGCTGCTGCAGCCAACAGTTCTTTAGTTAATGCTGCATCCACTCCCCCCTCATCAGCCTGCACATTAAAGCCTGCTTGTGGCGGCGGTGCAAGTCAGGTGACTGCGTGTGTCCACCCTCAAAGCACACACTTCTGTGTTTGACAGCAGCCTGTAGAAAAGCATGGTTTTATCTCACTGACACATGCAATGAGGAAGTGAGAGTGCACATTTAGTTCTGCCTGACCAACACAATTTGATTATCAAGCTGTCACCTGTGGTTAAGCTTCAGTTTCTTTGGTGGTTGCATTTATGACTAGAAACATCTTGGACAAATCTGTGTACATTCCCAAGCAGTTTCTGGGGTTTTTTTTGTTCGTTTTGTTTTTGCTTCTTTCACATTTTTACCTCACTGTGGTTGCATTTTTGTCTGCAGTGTAAAGTCTCTATGGAAACAGAGCAACCTTGGCTAGAAGTAGAGAGACTCAGAAATGTCTCCTGTGCAGTAGGACAAAGTGCAAATAATTTCAGAAGTTAAAAAAAATTAAAGTTAAATTTCTTTGATTATTTGTTGAACAGAAATGAAAAAAAACTGTAGTCAACATAAACATTTTGTTTAATTGGTGATTCTAAATTGTCCGTAGGTGTGAATGTGAGTGTGCTTGGTTGTCTGTCTCTAAGTGTAGCCCTGTGATAGACTGGTGACCTGTCCAGGGTGTCCCCTGCCTTCGCCCTAAGTCGGCTGGGATAGGCTCCAGCCCCCCGCGACCCTAGTGAGGATTAAGCGGTGTATAGAAAATGGATGGATGGATGGATGGATGGATGGATAAACATTTTGTAAAGTGCCAACAGGTGTTAACAGTGCTGGAGAAAAAATGTTTCTCTGCATAATATAGATATTTAACTTTTTCCATTTTTAATTTGTTTCCATACTTGTCTCCTACCACCTGTGTGAAAACACAGCCTGCAGTTCAGTTGAAAAGTCCCCGAAATGTTGTCACATGACTATTGGTCGCAGCTAAATTACTATCCATCCATCCATTATCTATACACCGCTTAATCCTCACTAGGGTCTATCCCAGCCGACTCAGGGCGACGGCAGGTCACCAGTCTATCACAGGGCTACACTTAGAGACAGACAACCAAGCACACTCACATTCACACCTACGGACAATTTAGAATCACTAATTAAGCTTTTAAAGTTTAAGGTTTTTTTTTTTTTAGCTTGAACCTAGGTCACACATGATACATTGAAGTACCATTGGACAGTTGAAAACCCGATGAGTCTTTTGCTTTTTTTAGTGTCAAGCTTTGATAAATGCTTCATTTTGACTCAGATGGTTAACCAAGTAATAGTTACCATTCATATCAATTCATCTTTTACTTGCCGTACTTTTTCTTCAACAACTGTAATATTGTAAATGATGTCTGAGGGGAGAAAAGCACTTTGAAGCATATAATCCACAAGTGACAGATATTGTTGGCAGGATTTTACGCATACCGAGGTCACAAGTCCAGCATGTGGCTTTTGTACAAAGAAAAAAAGTGCATGTGAGTGAACTCTCAGTAGAAAGGTTGTCACTCAAAAGTTTAATCGTCTTTAGACATGTTTTTTTTTTAAAAGTGATGAAAGACCTATAGTAAAATTGACTCTCTCTCTTTTTTTTTTTTTTTTTTACTTATCTCCAAAAATTACAGTCACAGTTTGCAAAAACAAAAAGGGGATGTGGGCTTAGTCTGTTCCAGGATCAAATCAGTAACCAGCAGGCTGACATTACTGTCCAGTCATCTGACATTGCACTACAGTACTGTCGATATGTGAAGTAACTTAGAAACCTCAGTACAGTTGCATGACTCTTCTACATCTGTACATCTCGGTTGAAATCACACACTGTGCACAACATTCTACATGATGTTAAAGTAAATCTTGACTCCCATAATTCTTCTGTTGTGCTGCTGCTTCACCGTGTGCTGACTACACTAGACCAAGATACCCTCTTTTCAACTAAACTTAACATATAAATGCCGGTTTTTAACACCTTTAGAGTAAAACAGAAGTATTGATCAACTCAGAAAGACACCTTGTAGAGCATTTCTAAAATGAGGGAATTTTTTCTCTCTGAGCAGCTTGTAGAAACTACACACATATTTTTGTTATTAGCAGACTGGACTATTATAAAACTCTTCTTTAATAAATTTGCTACGATTAATACATAATTCTGCTGCATGGGTGCAGACTGAGATCACAAAGAGAGCACACATTGCACCTGTCTGGTTGTCTGTTGGCTTTTGCATTTGTTTTAAAAAGAATTTATTTGTTTATCAGACACTGCATGATCTTGCACCAGACTAGCTGTCAGAATGTAGTCCTTCCTTTAATTTATGTACCAGGAAGCCCCATTAGATCTTCCCGTTCTTCACTCGTAGCTGTTCCAAAAGCCGGAATGAAAACCTTAAGTGATGCTGTTTTAAGACATTGTGCTCTGCAGTGGAGTTGAAGATATTGATGTTTTAAAATGCAGACTAAAAACCATCTGTTTACTGTGACTTTTATGTACAGTCATACAGATTCTATAGTGTTCTTGTGATTTTATACCATTAAGGTCATTAACTGTATGCAGAAAATGTTGGGCATTTAGGTTGTATAAATGACCCAAACGATCGATCAGTTGCTGATGATTTTATTGTTTTCTTTTTATTATGTCTCCACACTGGTGACGGCCGAGTCTGGAGGCATTATGTTTTTGGGTTACCCACTGTACTGTTCTCATGACTGTGATATATCAGGAGTGCCTTGAGGGAATTTCTTCAAATTCGGAACAAACATTCACTCAGACTCAAAGATGAAATTATTAGATTTTGTTGATCAAAGGCTACTGTGTCCTAACAAATCACACTTTTGGCCATAATTCAAGAATTGGTTCACTGTTTATGACAAAACATCACACAAATGTCTAACAGAATACTATTTTAAAGTGATGACATTTTATATCTGAAAGGTCAAAAGTTAACTTCACTGAGTTGTCGTAATAATCTCCAGAAATACTTTCCTACACATTACTCAACACCATAACTAAGATTGTGACCATATTTCACATTTGGTTAGATACTGATGTGGTGACACTGATCTTGTGTGGCCACTTTGAAACTGTGTAGATTGTATAGACCTTCTGTGCCGCCGGGTTGAAGATGTATGCAAACCAGCTGTGTTTTCATTTATTGCGTATAACATCCATAATGTCTGCTGAGTAAAACTTCACTGGAAGTCATTCAAATTGCTTCAAAATCTTCACTCCATTCATTTGGACTGACATGGATGTTTACCGCAACTTCACTTTTTGCCGGAGGCATACAGCTGCGAAACAATGATTCGACTTTATTATATCTTTGTCAGTCGGCAGATAAGGCTTCCACTAATGCAGCGTCATCCTCGGCACGTGTTGTTCTCGATGGTAAAGCCCTCTCAGCTCAGCCGCGGGGAGTCCAGATGTCAGTGCTCCTCTAATCCTGCCTTCCTAGTCACCCTCCCATCCCTTTGTTCAGCTTCATTCAGATACCTTAGATGCACGTGCATAAACAGCATACTGTCTGCAGAGCATGAAAAACAAGTAAGCTGGTAGATCATACATGTAGAAGTTGTGCAATTTGTGTCTAAGTCTGTTGTTCTTGTTGCCTGTGCAGCCTAAAATAAGATTTTTATGTCTTCTTCAGTAATCTTTTTAAAACTGTTTTGTGACATTCTAAGTTGATATATTTAACATGAAAGCTGCAGGTATTGGAATTACAACCTGACTGTATGTTCCCTCATCCCTACAGGGCTTTTTACCATCTTTAAGCTCATTACTTCTCGTCATACAGCTTGCAGATTTGCTCTTTGCTTCAGTTTCACAGCTGTAATCACCTTTTTTTTTCCAGCCAGCTGCAGCAGCCAGCTGTTCTGTTTACCTGGGAAGCATCAAACAGCAGAGAGACAAAATTTGCTGCTAGCTGGTGGACACAAGGGAACATTTAGTAGCTAAAGAGCAAGACATTTTCCCTTCAGGGATGGTGGAGACCAAATCAGAGCTAAAAGAAGAGCAAATGTTGGATTGCTATTCAACAAGTGGCCCAAAATAAAACTCCTAATAAACGCTGACACTGCTCTGTGTCGGCTAGACGTGTGAAAAGGCCACTGTTTGAAGACAAGTTTGCTGTGACAACATTAGAAGAAGATACCATATCAGTGTTGCCTCATTTGTGCCCCCAAAGGCCAAAAAACAAAAATCAGTTAATGCTGTTTTAAATTGCAGTTTAAAGAAAAAAGAAACAAACGTGTCCCTCTCTGTGTGCTTGTGCTCAGTCCTCAGCTTGTTTTTCTCTGGCAGAGCGTGCAGAGCCGCACAGTTAGACGGATTCTCTCCCTCCTGACTGAGAGACAGGTCAGCCAGCCAAACACCGAGCGGGCATGAATGAGGACATTTGTGTCCATTGCCTCAGAGTTTGTGTATGTTACTGAACAGAGCTAATTGGATAATTTCATTTGCGACAAACAAGCCTCAGAGGACAAGAGCAGGTTTCAGGCAGCCGTATGCTATCACCTACTTGCAGTCTTTTCTCTTAGTGTCTCTGATTTGTCTTGCTCTTCTTTTTTTCCAGATATTTTGTGCTGAACATGCTGGGATCAGACTAACGTATCATGGATCCAGAGGAGTTAGAATTGCAGAATGACTACCGCTACCGTAGCTATGCGGCGGTCATTGAGAAAGCGCTGCGGAACTTTGAGTCTTCAAGCGAGTGGGCAGATCTCATCTCCTCCCTGGGGAAGCTCAACAAGGTACAGTGTGATGCATAGAGGTGATGATGTCAAAGAAATACTGTAGCTGTCAGTGACTTTCTCTGTATGTACGAGGTGTGTCAGAAAACTTCCAGGACTGGTGTCACAAAAGATAGATTTCAAACCCAAACTACGAGTTTCCCCCTTCAGACGATCAACCAGCACGTCTACACAGAGATCCTGCGGTGTTTGAATCGTTCAGTGCACGAGAGGAGGCAAGATTTGTGGCAGGACAAGTCGTGGCTGCTTCACCATGACAACGCGCCTGCTCACAACGCCCTGAGCATCCGACAGTTCATGGCTGAGAAGAACATCGCTATGCTGGAGCAACCTCCCTACTCACCCACCTGGCTCTGAGGGACTTTTTCCTCTTCCCCAAGCTCAAGGGGGTCATCAATGGGACCCGTTTTGAAGACTTGTGGACGACATCAAGATGGCTGTGACGACAGAGCTGCGTTAGACTCCAGGGAGATTACTTCGAAGGGGAAAATATATCTTTTGTGACACCAGTCCTGGAACTGTTGTGACGCACCTCATATGTATTTGCTCAATGATCATTGCTGTGGTGTTTAACCTGAATTCACATCAGCATCTATGTTTATCTACTTTATGGTGTTGTATTTTCAGGATGTCAACCTCACAGCTGCTATGTGTGTTTCGGTTCTCTTATAGGGAAGTGTTTGTTTCTCACAGACGCTCCGTCTGTTTTATACAAACTTATCGCTGAAGTCTTCTGACCATTTATTATGGGCCCTAAATGTGTCACTGTTTGCCTACTTGTTGCACAGATGTTGACTTTGGAGTGTCACCGTGTGTCGATGTACCAATATTCTTCCTTAAATTACGCTAAGAATGTCAGGGGACATTAAGGAGATTAAATCTGACAAGCATGACTGTACAGTAGCGACATGCACAAAATCCTTTTATTCCAATATATCTGTGGGGTTTTTTTAAAACATTTTTTGTTGTGTGGTTCTCCTATGGTAACTCTTTGGTTTTATTTTTGATTTCTCTGTCTTTCTATCAGGCCCTGCAGAGCAACCTTCGCTACTCACTCCTGCCCAAGAGGCTGATCATAGGGAAGCGCCTGGCTCAGTGCCTGCACCCGGCCCTGCCCAGCGGAGTGCACCTGAAGGCTCTGGAGACCTACGAGGTCATCTTCAAAATCATCGGAACAAAATGGCTAGCCAAGGATCTGTTCATTTACAGGTAAAGAAACTGGCCTAGATCTTTTCTGCTTCAGGCAGAGTGCTGGCCTTAATATGAGTAACATGACTTAATGTGTGTCTGTGTGTCTATTTTTTTTTTTTTAGCTCAGGACTGTTTCCTCTGTTGGGCCATGCAGCCATGGCAGTGAAGCCTGTGCTGCTGACGCTGTACGAGCGTTACTATCTCCCGCTGCAGAGGGCTCTGCTGCCCAGTCTTCAGGCCTTTATAACGGGACTCCTGCCAGGCCTGGAGGAAGGACTGGAGGTGTATGACAGGTACATAATGCATACTGTTTATACCAGGAGAAAGAAAGAATCTCTAGCCTTTAGTTTATTCACATGTGCTCAAATATGTCAAAAATTGGATTAAAAACACTGTATTTTGTTATTTTAACTGAATCTCAACTATTCACCCTCTAAACCACTCCTGGGCCTTTAACACATCACATTTTATCTCACTGTAGGCTCATTTTTTACTGCTATATAATGCCCTGCACCTCAGGAAAACAACACAGACATGGCTGCAACTAGAGAGTTATCAATGTTACCAGTGCTGTGGAAAAATGTTGGCTCCACATGATATTGATATTTACCTATTTGCATTTTTGCAACCTGTACCAACTAAGTGTTTTCCACACGACTCTGCACAGCAAGTCCAGAAAGATAATTCCAACTGCTGACTGTATCTTTCAACAACTTGCTGACTACTTGCGTCTCTGTATACTGTTTTGAGCAGTAATATATTTATCTTATAGATCCAGTCTGTTTGATTTTCCTCTCAGTCTCTATTGTTATCTCCTATTCTATAATCGGAGATGACAAGCCTGTAGTTACTTGAAAAGTCTCCTAATTTTTGTCATGTGACTACTGGCTTCTCAGTCATGCTGAGGAGCAGAGAGTTTTACATTTATTTTATTTATTATTTTCAGGATCTGATGGTTATAGTTTAAGTTTGGATTTTTTTTTTAATGAGACATCTATAAAAGTGATTTTTGGTGAAATATTACAATTTTAGACGTGTGTTTGTTGTTTTATTTGATGGAACCTCACATCACAAATGACACATTCAAGGACTGTCGGAAAATCAATCAATTCTTGCTGTTTTGTCAGTTTTTTGCTTTGATAAATGGTGTATTGTTGGCCATTTTTAAAAATAAAACATGTCTTTCAAATGATGGGATTTAGGGTCTTCGGTAAAACACATTAGCTCTCCAAATCCACAGCCAAAAATAGAACCACAACAAATGTTCTTTTTATCCCCTGTTTAAATAACATGTTCTAAAAGCCACAGTTCCTAACTGAAATAATTTATTCAAATAAAGTATACAATAGATTCTTGTTAGAGAAGAAACAAATAGGCTTTGGGCTGAGACCAACATAGGGAGGCTAAAATGAAAGTGTTTTGTTAAAAAATATAGAATATTACCATCTGTTTGTGTCAAAGTATTACCTTTTGCCTATAGCACAATAGCAAAACTGAATAATTGATACCCTTTGCTCTTTTAACCAAACTGAAGTTAAAGCACTCTACATGGGTGTTTATTAATTCTGGAATTATATATATATGTATGTATGTTTTTAACCAACACCCATTACCTCACTTTACCTTGTTTACTTTATTTGCTCAAATGTGTACCGCAAACAACCAGTTTGACTTTATCTAGGATCTGTCAACTCTCATTGTTTATTTTAGATCTAATTTACACAGAAGTGTGTGTACACTGAGGGCAAAGTTAAAGTGTAATCAGGAAACTTGTGATAAATCTAAACAACATGAAGTAGGTGCTGGATCACTGAGTCCCACAAGCTTGCCAACAGTACTTCTGAACTGAAACAATGGATAATTTTGGTCAGAACCGATTAGTGTGTCACCACAAGACACAAATATAGATTTATCAGTGGATGTGTTGTTGGGTGCAGGTCAATAATTTCTTTCCACTGTCCTCTCTCGTTGTCCAGGACTGACGCTCTGCTGGTCAAGTTGTCACTGCTGGTGGGGCAGCAGGTCTTCTATGGTGCCCTGTGGGGCAGCATGCTGGTCACCCCCATGGTGCGACTGCCTGCTTCTGTCTTTATAGTCACACATTTTGACCGCATGACATCACTGAGTCAACAAACACACATGCTCGGCTACGACCACGGCGTAGTGGTGAGTGCCTCTTGTTTCTTTTTTTTTTTTATTTGCTGTGAAGTTTACTCATTATTTTGTCCACTTTGTCATGTCTGAACCTCCGTCTCTCTTCAGGTGAAGTCAGTTTGTCTTTCTCTGCAAGATTCAAATGTCTTGGTTCAGAGGAACACGCTCGAAATCCTGCTCTACTTTTTCCCCTTTGCCACATGTCTGGTAGGTAGCCTCATAAACACACTTCTTCCTGTTTTATCTTAACACCGTCTTTTCTCTACGTGACCGAGGTAAACTTTGCTCCAGTTTTGTATTCAGTCATTGTGAGAACATTGTATGCGCCACTGGACGCTGACATCTAGGGACGCCAACAATCCAATAGAGCAGATTACACAAGTAGGGAGCCAGTTAGAAAGGGTGCACACAGAGTCACAGTTAATTATCTAAACACAGAAAATAAACATTTGCGTTCATAAAGCGTTAAGTCAAATCTGACATTTCTGACCTTTGTGTGCTCTCCGAAATAATTGAGTTGATATAATCGATTAAAACTGTAAAAGATGATATTGCTCAGCCACACCATCCAACAATGCCACTAGATTATGAGCATCACAACAAGTTAAAGGAAATATCGTCACGATGAAACTATAAATATTGGATTTTAGGTTACTTGGGGTGAAAAAAAATGGAATTTGTCTTTAATAATATCGTTATATGGTGCACCCTGTGGTGGCTTTTGTTGAAATTGTAAGCTATCCAATAT